CCAAACTCTGATGTCAAAATACTCTCCAGACCTCCAGCTCCTTTTAGCTTTGTTGATTGCAACACACTTCTTTCTCTTGGGCTGATTTCACTTCCTGTTAGCAGCTTTCCTCAGCAGATATCCCATACCTCTGGCATCTCCAACATCTTGGGGTCTCCAAGGCAATCCAGGCTTCAACTTCACAGCTTCTTACAATGGCCTCTCTAGGTCTCTATTCAGAGACACCCTGAAATAGCCCTGGTCTCAGCAGCTTTCCTTAGTGTGAAGGCAAATTCTACAACCCCTTTCTTCTATCCTTAACTCTAAACCCAAAGCCACATGGCCAAAGCTGCCAAGTTCTTCTGTTTGCTGGGGCTGAAACATGGCCCCATGTTCAATTACATCTTCACCAGCTTCCAGCTTTCTGTTTTCAATGGTTTCCTTCACTGACTATGCTTGGCTGTCCTTGAATTTGCTCTGCAGACCAGGGTGACCGTCAGCCTCTGCCTCTCAAGTGCTGGTAAAAAGACATGTACCACCACACCAGGTTTTAATCGTTTCTTTAATTCCTTTTTACAAATTGGAAACTTGTGGGATCTTGCCCTGAGGTCACTAGCTTCATTCCATTTCTTAATCTGTTTATCTCCTTGAACACAGGTAGCTCCATTCCACTTCCTGGTGCTCAGCTTGCTCCTTTTCATTATAAATCTTCATTAGAGTCACCACTAGTAAGCTCACTCAGTCTATACTAGGCTGGTGATATGAGTGAGGAGACCTGAGGACCCAAGAGCAGGAGGACTGGCCCTCCTTGTTGAATGCTACACTGGGTGAGCTAGCCCAGGAAGTGCTAGAGAGTTCATCTGGGTAGTGAAGATGAGGAAATGCTAGTGAGCTGACCAACTCAGTTACCATCCAGGTCCAAAACCAGGGCTATGAGTTGGCCCACCCCAACATCCACTGAGTCTATGAACTGTTGGAGCATGTGAAGGGGACAAACCTAAAAATCCAAAACAACATGACACAGGGCAACTACAGGATAACTAAGAGGAGCCTACAGTGAGAGCCCCTTATCAGTGGTATAGCATTCTTGGAGGCAGAGGCAGGCCAATCTCTACGAGTATGAGGCCAGTCTGATCTACAGAGCCAAGGCTACACAAAGAAACCCTGTCTCAAATAAATAAATAAATAACAAAAAAAGACAAAAAACAAACAAACAAAAAGAATCCAGAAGTAATTAAAAGATGTCACAGGATAACTGAGGAAGGTTCCTCCTAGGAAGTCAGCCATAGCCCCATGTTAGCAAATATTCATGTAATTAATACCCCCAAGCAGCATTCAGACCCACAATATAAATGATCAAAAGGTAGTGTGCAGAAATGTCAATTTTAGACATGACTATCACTTTCCATTATTTATACTCATATTTTCTTTAAAATCAGAAACAAAATGGACATGACTTCAGTTCATGATTATCATATTGATGTTAAGTGGCAGACAGTAAAAAGTTCCACACTTTAATTGCCGTATACTACTATTTTAGGAAAAGAAAGTAAATCCAGCTATATGGGAAAAATTACTTCTATTATTCTGCTGAATGGATGTAACATTAGAATGATTCCTAATGACTTACTCCTATACCTATACATAGGTACATCTTTCAATACTCACCACAGAAGCTTCTTACAGTAGAAGATAATCAAACCAAGACCCAAACAGCTCAACATGCAAGGAATAAGAGTAAGGGACACTAGTGTACGCAGCCACGCCACAAACAGCTGCAGGAAGCAAACTTGAAGTGACTACAGCCCTTTAGAAGGGCCCATAGAAAACAAACCAAAGAGAGGTGAAGAAAGAGAAAGGTAAAACAGATAAATTCATTCCACAGACACGCAAAACACCACAAATAGAATACGACACAACTACCCACACAGCCTATCTCCAACCTCCCAACCACTTCATACTGGAGCCAAAAGCTGCTGGGATAGCTGGAATATATAAGAAGGAATTCATAGTCCTACTCAAAAACAAAACAAACAAAACACAGTAATGATCATATTGAAGATTCAAACAAAAAGATTCACCAACTAAAAAAATCTACCCAAAACCTTGATGAGACAACCTTCAAAGTGAATGAAATAGCTAGCAAATTCGAATGAAAAGATCAAAATGTGGAAGAAAAAATTCAACTGAGAAAACTGAAAAAATGAAAAAGAACCCAAGAGATACTGGCAACGAAAGAAATGGTTAATCAAATAAAAACTACATCAGAAAGCATCAACAGAAAAGACTATGTAGAATGAACTTTAAGGGTGGGAAACAAAGCTGAGAAAATAATACAATCATGTGGGGGGGGTATATACTCTTGAACGTATTCCAGACTTCTTGAAAATACTGGCTGTTTTAAGAAATTTTGCTCATGTACGTATTGCATGTACAGATGAACAAAATTATTTGACACAACCAATATTTCCAGAAGTCTGGGATACACATACATACATACATACATACATACATACATACATGAGCAAAATTACTTACAACAACCAATATATCCAGGAAGTCTAGGATATATTCAAGAGTCCAGACCTAAGAATTTGTGGGATACAAGAAGGAACAGAGGTAAAGCTGAAAGAAATACAAAGCCTATTTAATGAAATTATAGTAGAAAATTTCCAAATCTAGAGAAAAAAAGTACACATCTGTTGGGGAAGTCCTGTGTATATGTCAATAAAGCACTGTTGGCCAATAGGGAAGCAAGATAGGTAGGACTAGGAGTCGAGGAGGACTCTGGGTAGGAGAAACACAGAGAGTCAAGATGTAACCGCCATAGGGATAAGAAGCCCAGAAACTTCTCTGGTAAGAGACATACTTAGATTAACAATTATGGGATAAATACTTAAGTCAGAGCTAGCCAGTAAGAAACGAGCAAGGCCAACAGCTTCATAATTAATACAGTGTCTTGTGTGTTATTTGGGACTGATGCAGCTCTGAAACCAGGCTGGCGGGAAGGCTTCTCTTTACACACATCAAAACATAGGAGAACTACAAATAGACATGACCAGAGAACTTTCCATGATATATCATAGTCATGATGTCAAAAATACAATGAAACAATGCTAAACATAGTATGAGAAAATTGTCAAGTCACATACAAAGGCTGGAACACCACAATAACCAAACCTTACATGAGCAACTCTAAAAAGCCAGAAAACATAAAGTGAAATATTTCAACCTTGGAAAGCAAATAACTATGAACCAAAAAGACTAAATCAGTGTTGTTTTGTTTAAAAGTTGAGCAAGATACACACAAACCAAGGAACTTTGTGGCAACCAAGCCACAACTGAGAAAATTCTCCAATGAATACTATACAGGGAAGAAGAAAGACAGTTTTCTCCATGTATGTACAGTGAAATATGAGTCAGTCAGGAAGAAGAATGAAGCCCTGTCATCTGAGGGAGCATGATGACTCTTGACCATCCTGGGTAAAACAGTCAGTCATACATCATACCACATGACGACACTCCTGTGAAGCCTGAAAGAGTTTATAATGGGCAAAGACTTGGGGGATAGCAAAGGAAGGAAGGGAAGGAGGCCAGCAACGTTAGTGAGAAGGAAGGAGTAAGCTCTCACACTGTGTCACACAGCACAGTGAATCCAGTCAACAACTGCCAATCTTCAAAATGGCTGGAAAATAAATCTGAATGATCTTCTCACCATGAAGAAACAACAGCTGCTTAAGGAAACGTTCTTAATACCAACAGATAATGAATACTTGAAGTACTGACACCCAACACACTAATTTGACCATTAAGCAATGGACACATGCCCCAGAGAATCGTAGGTACACCATGAATATGTGCAAATGTTATGTTAATTAAAAATACAACTGAAAAACTCATCAAGATAAAATTACTAAAGAGAAAACTAAATATAACATCAATTATAAACAATATAAAAGCTTATAAAGCAGAGAAACTTTGTGAGAAAATGTATGTGTGTGTATGTGTCCCTGTGTATCTGTGTGTGGATCTGAGTGTGTATTATTAGAAACAAGAAAGAACACACTGAGGACAAGTTAATTGTTAACTATAAACTGCTTGCTTGGGAGGAGAGAATCCCCTGGAGAAATAGAAAGAAAGGCCAAATGTAAATAGAAAGCTTGAAGTCTCCACAGAAGAGTTTGAAGGGATTTAAAAGCTACCTTTTCTTTAAGTGACCAGAGCAGACAGCTTTAGCAATGCATTCCATGTAATTTTTATGGAGGATCTAATTCTATAGGTAACTATTCTAGGCCACAGAGAAATATTTCTTTAATTTGCCCTGTGAAATTGGAATAACCTTAGTCTCCAAACTTGCCTGGAAAAATACGGAAACTATGTGCTTTACAGTTCAATACATTATACAAAATCCAAGGTCCAGCTGAATAAAAAATGTTAACAGTCAGAACAGTTCACTGTGAAACAAACACGGTTCAATACTTCAAAACCTATGATGAAAACAAAGTATATCAAATTTGAAGACAGAGCTAGGGAGATGGCAAGCCTGACAACCTGAGTTCGATTCCCAGGACCCACAAGCTGTATACACACACACACACACACACACACACACACACACACACACTATTAAAAAAAAAGCTTTCACGTGAAAAATAAAGGATGAACCATATGATAATAATGACTACCCCAAAGGTACCTTGCAAAAAGCTTAACCATTAGTAGTAAGAAGTAACTAAGCAATTATAACATTTCTTAATAAATCATTTGTACACATAAAAAGAGATGACATATTTGAAATTTTCTCTATATACAAATATATGTACTCACTTACAACATAGGTATATATAAGTGCATACATATAAATACCACTTAATTCATATTATTAGTGTATATGGTGAATATATATATTAGAGTATATTAGCATATAGAATATATATACTTACTTATTTGTTTAATCACCAAAAGCCTAAATAGCATGTAATTATACAATTGTACTTATTCTTCATTAAAGTATTAGTTACCTGTTTGGGAAGTCGGAACAAGGAATTCTTATAGAAAATGTCCTTAGCCTGGCTCCATGTACCATCAATGAGGATGATTGTGGAAGGATAAACAGGAGAATCTAATATAAATTCTTCCAAATTAGTAGCTTCAGCCCCTGGATATAATATTAATGTACCAGGGTCCCGGCAAACAGTTGAAAGTTCATTATCTCTAAAACAATAATTTTTAAGATATCTTTATTAGGTGTGGGGAATACAAAAATTTCACTACACTTAGTGACTGCCTAAGCAAAGCTACCCACTCAAGGAATCGGCCTAATCAAATGGAAATGGCAGTTCAAAGGTCAGCCAGAAATTTGGCGACTGGCATGCTGTCTCCTCAGTCACAGTTCTTCCTATTAAGGCTTTCCTAGCCAATGACCAATGACATCATTTTTAACCCTCCCAAAGCAACCTCTATGTAGGAAGGAACTACTGCCAACTGCCTGTCAGTCAGCTCACTTACCGCTCTTCACTGAAGCGGCGGCCGATCCTTACTGTGCACTTGTCAGGAGGCAGGCACGCTGCTAGCAGAGGGACCGTGCGCAAGACTTTGCTTTCCTTTAACGAAAAATTAAAATGTGGAGTTATTACACAGGTAAACTCTTAAACCTTTTCTGGAACTGACTGATAAAGTCCTTGCTCATCAAGTACGGAAACTGAGTGTCAACATCAGCATTACAGAAATAAAAACTTCTGAGAAACATTTGGTTTCTTTTTTTTTTTTCCCAGACAGGGTTTCTCTGTGGCTTTGGAGGCTGTCCTGGAACTAGCTCTTGTAGACCAGGCTGGTCTTGAACTCACAGAGATCTACCTGCCTCTGCCTCCCGAGTGCTGGGATTAAAGGCGTGCGCCACCAATGCCTGGTGAAACATATGGTTTCTAAATTTATATATTTTTACAAGTTTTTTACTCAAAACAGAGGTTAAGAAGCAATAACATTTCTCTAATTTATCAGTATTAAGCATAATTTTTAAACTTATTTAGGTATATTTCCAGATTAGAATTAGAAATTTATAGTTGGAAAATAGTTAATAGATTATATGCAAATGCTATAATGAAACCCATTGTTATATATAATATCAGTAATAAGCTAAATGAATTATAATTACATGTAAATTTGTGCTAAACTGAATAATTTACTCTGATAAGCTTTTTATTTCAACAATAATTATATTTGAACATTCCAGCTTATTGATGATAGCCCATATCTCTATACCAAAAAAGCAGCAACATATGCCAAAAATAAAACAAGGGACATGTCAAAATGACAGAGCCACAAACTTAGAGACTTACTAATGGCCAAATGGAACAATTCAAGCAGCAAAATTAATACTAGACTCTAATACAAAATACATAAGTCTCCACAGTGGTACCTGAAAACTATGAAATAACTAATGAGAGAAAGGGAAGTAGCTTTCTTACACAATGCTATGTCCCCAGTGAAAACACTGCCTGCTCCAGAAAACTTACATTCTCCTCCCTTGGAAGTGGCTGCACTTCCAGGATTCAAAACATCCAAGCACAAAGCTGACCTCCATCAGTGGTTTTCTTCAGCATCCTACCTTGCACTGCTAAATACAAGCTTTCTTGTTACCACGGCTCTATCCTTTGTCCTATGGAGGCAAGCAGTTAGCCAACAAGCCTTAGGGATATTTTTTCAGTGTTTCATACAATGTTCCTCCCTCCTTATCACCATGAAGACCTTTGTTTCCAAACGTTTTTAAAGTAATAATTTATATATATGAAATTACACAGTCACAAAGATTTAAAGTGCCATAACTTTCGCAGGTGTACATCCCAGTACAAATTCCAAGAAGCAATCACTTTAACTCTAACCTTTTCTCTTAAAAATTATTTCCATATTTCCTATAATGTGTGTTACAATTTTATTTTTTAGTTTTCAATGAGGAGACTGAAGCGCAGAGATGCATTAAGTTGCACAGGGTTACAGACTATACACAGCTAGTAACTATCTGAGACTCTTCTCTGGAACCCTGACTTTGCAAGCACAGCCTCTCATAACAAGTTAACCTTCTGAACTCTCATCTTGCAGCTTACTCTCATATTTGATAATGGTTCTAGAATATCAATAAACAGTGTATATAACATTATGGCTAAAAATACATTGTTCAGAAGGCCATGCAATTAAGCATAATGCTTCTTGCTTTTAAGCTTCTTTCTAAGTTTCTGAGATCACTTCTTATTTTTAAGCAACTTTCTACATTCTTGAACCGACTCTTTGGAATGCCCAGCACGTCACTTCCATGCAATCCTCTCTGCCATATCTTTCTCCACATCTCCCAAGTGGAACCCATCTAGATGGATTTCTGTCTCATGTTGGGATAACCATGGACATTTATGCAAAGTAGTGTGCTAAAGTTACACTCAAGCAGCCTAATATTAGTGAACTAGATAAAGACCACAACGTTCCTTTACTGATAGAGAAAATCAATTTGGATGTACTTGTCTACTCACAAAATACATCCATAGTGGACACAGTTTTAAATGGGTCTTCTAAATTGAAGATTAATTGTGTTTAAAAAAAACTAAGAGATTTCAAATTATAAAAATCACCACAAATCAATTTTTAAAACTACATTTTGAAAACTATCTAATACCCTAGGACAACGTAACAGTGGAAAAGTACCATATTTGCACCATAATATGGAAACAATATTCACCAAAATGCAGGTTTTAATCCTCTATGACCATAGCACTATTGTTTTCTGTAAATGTAAGTTGTATAGCATTATGATTTTAACTGCAGCAAAATAATTCAGTGACAAAGTTGCCAGAATCCTAAGAGCCTGCTGTCCAGTCTGGAAAAGGAACTGTCAAATAACTTGCAACCAAGAAATAGTATTCAGAAAACAGAAAAGACAATTTATTTTACCTCTTTGTTGTATCTTTGAAGAGACTGTACAAAGAGTTCTCACTTGGGATACCATTAAATCCATTTACATCATGCACTGACTATTTTGAATATAATTTCCTATCATTTCCTTACATCCCCTCATCACAAACCAAAACTCACAAACATTCAAATACGCTGGCACACGTCTAATCCTAAACAGAAAAGTGTTAGCTAAAAAGTCTTACAAATGGCACAGCACAAAGTAAGTGTTTGTTCTAGCCACCTAAAAGAAAGAAACTTTTACTTGTATACCTATCTTTTAAGAGTAAAAGTAAAAGGGTCAGTATCTACTCTAGGAAGAAAATCCATCAAGGAGTCAAGACTATGACCAAGGCTTTAAAAGCAATCATTTTTCTCAGTTCTTTATTCACAAAATTGCATCTTTTTATCATACAAATCTATATCTCTACCTTACAATAGCAGAATTGTATGAAAAATTATCTCAAGCATATGACTCTCTACTACAATCTAACAGTGCTTTCTTCCTTAAAAAGCAAATATTTATCAGGAATAATAGTTTTTCTGAAACACGACACAGCTGTGGGATGTGAGCATGTTACATGTGTGTTTTCTCTGTGCACTCAGACCCCACCTGAAGGCATATCATTCACAAGCTTGCAACTCACCTCTGCCGGATGCTGAATTATGTACAAATGGGTGGAGATTTGGAGTGGGTGCACTGGTAGATATGGACACAAGCACACTTTCTGGGGCCGGCTAAACAGTAAGAAAAGCAAACATAAGCAGTGAATTTTTAAAATGTGATATAACATCATCCAAATACATCAGTATCATGCCATTTTTATATCTTAAAGAGGTTTGGAAAAGGTACATACTTTAAAAATGAAACACCATTAATGAATTTAATGAGACAATTTAGACATGAAAATTATGAAAGAGATTTAAGTTTCCCCATCCCTAGAAATTCTGGGCTTGGCAGTACACTACAGTTCAGTGCTGCAGCTCTTGTTAGCACTTACAAGGCCACATGTTTGATCTACCACAAAACAAACTGGCTAACATTAAAGAACTTCAATAAATATTATGGTCACTAGCAAAAGATCAAAATGAGGTAAATAAACAATTTTTAAAGAAGAAATACAAAACACCAATAAACTCTTGAAGTGTGTTTATGGCTATAATGGCATGTGACATCTGTCATGTTCCAGCAGTAAACAAGTGAAAAACCATCAGTATACTTATAGGACTGATCACTGTCAGATCTTAACCTCTACTCAAGTGTAATGGAGGACAAGGTAAGAAATGCTAATGCTAAACTACAGAGTGTGGGTAAATGCCTTTAAATAGCTATAATACCAACCAGCTCCTTCTATTACAAGCTTCTCAAATTATGGGTCTCAAACTAATATGAGGACAAGCATCTCATGGAGTGAGTCACAAAAAAAAAATCTGACAATAGCAAAGGTTTCTGATGGAGCAATAACCAAAAACAAACATTTAGTAGATCTGAGGTATGTATGGCAGTACCTGCCCATATAGCATTGCATGTGTTTTCCCTGCAACCTTGGTTCTGAACATACACTATGCATACTTTGCATGCACATGCTATTACATCATGTAACACCAACAAACCTTTGCTCCTTAAAACACCCTGGCTCAACCTCAGACTACCTACCATATGTTAGGAAATACAGTGCTTTTGATACATAGGGAGTTTGTTGTTCTTACAGAAACTTAATGATTTAATTAATGAAAACAAGACCTTATCATCGTCCCTCATCACTTGTAGAGTACTAAATTCATATTGTATTATAATGCTAGATTTTTGTAAAAAGTGCTATCTTAGCTGTTGGTTTGTGTCTCACACAAACAGCACTAGATGAATTTCAGGATGCAACACAGTGGCACGTGCCTTTAATTCTAGCACTGGGGAAGGGAAAGTAGAAAAATCCGAGTTCAAGGTCAACCTCAGCTACACAGAAAGTTAATTAGAGACTAGCCTAGGTCATAAGAGACCCTGTCTCAAATCTAGAAAAATACTAATCTTGTCTGGAGATGAGAACAGAATTTCCAAATGATTCTGAAATAGTGCCAACGTACTTTTGCCATTTTATACTATATATTCATGCATATTTCACACTGATAATTACAAAACTAAAAGTATCTATCCACTGAAAATGCTGAAATACTCATGCAGAAATGCAGCATGATCTACAGTATCAAATATTCAGCTAAGATTTAATTCTTTATGTAAAAACAAACACTTCTATCTCATTAGAATGTAAATTTGCTTTCATTTTTAAGAAATGACAAATCTGTATCTATTCCAAAGAATTATTTTAAAATAAGGATCTCAGCCGGGCGGTGGTGGCGCACGCCTTTAATCCCAGCACTCGGGAGGCAGAGGCAGGCGGATCTCTGTGAGTTCGAGGCCAGGCTGGACCGACAGCCTCCAAAACAATACAGAGAAACCCTGTCTTGTAAAACCGAAAAATAAATAAATAAAATAAAATAAAGATCTCAATGATTTATCAGTAAATGTTTGATTTATATAATATAGCTGCATATAATATAGGTGCATAAAATTGTTTTTCAGTAAAAAAGAGGAGTAACAAAGAAGGGTTTTAAAAGATTTATTTAGTTTTATTTTATGTATTTTTTACTATATATATATATATATACACATAATGTGTGTGCAGTACGCCTGGAAAGCAGAGGGGCCATTGGATTCCCTGAAGCTGGAATTACAAAGGTTGCAATCTATCATGTGGGTTCTGAGAACTAAAACTGGAGAGATAGCAGGTGTTCTTAACCACCAACCTATGTCTTCAACCCCAACAATGGGAAAGGTCTGGTCTAGATGGTACCTTGTTCAGGGAAAAAAATATGCAATCCTGTAGAATTGGCTCAATGGTTAAGAGCACTTGTTGCTCTTGTAGAGGACCCAAGTTCAACTCCCAACACCCACATGGTAGCTCACAACCATTTGAAACTATAGTACCAAGGGATATGATGACCTCTTCCAGGCATGCAGAGGTGGTACACAGACACACAAGCAGCCAAAACAGTCAAATACATAAAATATAAAATACATAACTCTTTTAGTTTTGGTTTGGGGGCTTTGAGGGGGGTTGTTTGTTTTGATTTTGTTTTTCAAGACAGGGTTTCTGTATGGAACTCACTCTGTAGAACATTCTGGACTCAAACTCACATGCCTCTGCCTCCCCAGTGCTGAGATTAAAGGCATGTGCCACCACTGTCCAGCAAAATGCATAAATCTTAACACACACACAATCCCAGCCTATTTCCCTCAATGACCCTTAAGGAGACCTAAGGGGAAAAAAAGCCAGTGACCCTACTTTCTAGCTCCCTTTGAGATGATCTGGTACGACTGTCTTAACTTATGCTGAATGTCCTGTCGGGACTATAAACAGATTTACATGGGTAACAAGTGTTGTAATTTTTTAAAATCAGCTCGAGAAAGACACCATGCAACAGAGTTCAAATGGAGGGGCTTTTTATGAAAGGAAAAGGATCACAAAAGGGAGGAAGGGGAGGAGGAGACCCGCCTCTGGGGACAAGAGCAGTGGGAAAGAGGAAAGTGAGGCAGAGAGAGAGAATGGGGGAGGGTAGGGAAGTGGGCAAGAGACCAGGGCCCTTTTAAAGGGAACATGTTGAATATGCACAGGTGGTGCTCTTAGTAGCAGCAACTGAGGGTGTACCTTGTCAGAACTCCAAAGGCAGGCCAGTAAAATGCCTAAATACTGACAAATCCTTTTGTGATCACTAGAGTAAAGCACAGAAAGGGGCAAACAGACTATGAATCTGAGTATACCAGCAAATGCAGATCAAGGTCTGCTATAAGAAAGAACTCTTTCTGTAAACGGAACTAGGGTAACATCCAAATTCTAAAAAGCTTAAGATTTAATTCTTCACATGAAATTTATCAAAAACATAAACTCAGATAATCAAAGAACAAATTCAAATAGAAATTTGTTTCTCTAGCATAATACTATCAGGCAATTTAAAGTCAGATCCTAACTATACTCCAATAAGTAAGGTAAAATTTGGAAAACTTTAATACACATATACAAATTTTGGCCAAAGAACAACTATGGTTCTACAAACATTAACTTTAAAATTTTCTAGGTAAAAGTCCTATAACAGTAGTAAACATTCATTTCAAACCTTTAGTAGATGAATCACCAATTACACTACGTTTTTATAATTATCATTTATCAGTTGTGTTGTGAGCATTTATTAGTAGGTTTTATTTCAATTCTTACATATATTTTTAGATCTTGAAAAACTTCAGCATCACTAAAATTCATTAGTGACATTGTAAAATCAATTTACTCCAACTGCCCTTTATAAACACTCCTTCAAAGAACTCAGTGAAAATGTAACATGAGACTAATTTTATTAAAAGTAAATTGAACAAAAATATTGTAGCCTGTAAGATTTAGCTTTGAAATTTTGTATATTAAATACAACTAAGTACAAAAAAAGTCATCTTTCCATGGAAACATTAAGAACATTTACCAAGTACACTCCAAAAGTCTACTAATAAAATTAGTTCCCAATTTAAGCCATCAATCTGTACACTACTTAATTCATTATTTTAAGGATGGTGTCCAGCCAGAACTATGCTTATGCTCTAGAACACTCCTTGTCTGCAACTATTTTCTTCTTCACAGGACTGGATTCACTCATTAGTTATAGTCAGTTATACTTCCTCAAATTCTTACTTGTACTTCTGAACTTTTAGATAATTGAGACTGATTTAGCTACAAGACTGTGGGGCCAGGAAGTGACGTGAAGGTTTGAATGAGGTGTCCCCCCGTAAGTCTTGGACATTTGAATACTTGGTCCCCAGCTAATGGCTGTTCAGATGATTAGGAGATGTGGTCTTGCTGGAGGAAGTATGTCATTGGGGGTGGGCTTTAGGCTCCCTACTTCCTGTTTGGTGTTTGAGATACCACAACTGTTAGCTTGCATCACCATCACCCAAGAGGCCCAGTTAGCTAGATTGCTGAGCCTGAATATCACCTCACCAAACACCTCACCGAGCTTCTGACAGAATAGCCCTGGGAATTATTTCTGACAAGTTGATGGTTGGTGGGTGATACTGATGCTCCAGGTGGGGATGGTCAGTAAAAGTCAGTTCTTGTTGCTGTAATGATAAACGGCACACTTGTTGAGGGTATAGGTAACTGTTTATTGTAGAAATTACTTACAAGAGAATACGGGCCACCAAGGTTGAGTCTGTAGCTTTCTGTCACAAAACTGGAAACCGAGAAGAGAGCGTGTGGCTCTCCTGTATGGTCTTTTACTCCCACCTCTGTACACGCCTCTAGCAACGCCCCAAAGTGTGCATGGCTAACTGGGCAGTCCTAAAGTTTCCTCCTACAAGTTCTCAGATGCACTTTCCTATAAGCATGCACCCCCACAGCATTTTCTTTCCCACTGAGTGACTTGAATTCATTCCTATCTAAATGCTATCTACTTATCCATTTTGCATCTGAAGACTGTGAAAGGCTTTTGAATTTTTAAAGAAGCAGTTACCAAAGAACAAACAAAAGAACAGTGAACGAACAAGTCAATGAAACCATTTTCTCATCATGAAAATGACCTTTCCTAGCCAACCAATTCAGTTGCCCTGACAACTCTATCACTAGGCAACCCTGCATATGATTAAAACAACCCACAACTGACAGAATGCATATTGCCTGATCAGGACACCATACTCTGGGCTT